ACGAAGGTTGAGCGAACCCATGTACGACTGAGGATCGTTGGCATCGGTTATTTCCAATGCTAGGAATGAAATAATAATAATAATAAAACTAATGAGCGGGGTGAGGAAGGATGGCAGGATTCTGCCCAGAACTTTATGTACGGAGTTGATTATCCGCAAGTGGTGGCAGGTGGGGAACGCATGTGGTGGAAGAGAGCCAGCCGCAGTGCTCGATAATGCTGACAAGTGCAAACTGAGCCATTCATAAAAGCGAATGCAACATGCGGTGCAACTTAATGGTTGTTGGTTCCTCCAGTGGTGCCTTATCTCTACCACAGAGGAGTGATAGTGTGGAGGAGGAAGGGCTAGTCGACCTCTGAGGTCAACGCTGAACGCTGGCGGATGAGGAGTGTCAGTGCGGATATGACGACAACCACCTCGATGATGAAGTTGTACGGACCGCCTTGAGAGGCACACAGTCCACGGTCCACTTCCTACAACACCCAATTGTGGACGTCGATTTGTAATGTGACATTTGCATTGTTGTGGAGAGGAGGGAAGATGTGCCACTTGATTGGTGCCATCAACTTCATCGCTAGCGTGCCAATGTGCTCCGCACCACTGGCGACGGCACAAATTGTGTGCAGAGGTGCGACTGCTGTGCAGCCACTGGAGTGATAAGAAATGCCAGTAGGTGAAGGAGAAGAGTAGATGCGACGTGGAGTCTGTGATGCGAAGAGGTGTTGAAGGAGGAGCACAAAATAATGTGTCGCAACCTGCGGTGGCTGAGTCCTGCCCACTCACCTGCCTGCTGTGCGTGCACCCTTTCGTGATTCCCTTCGTTTGCTGGACGCGTTACGCTTTGTGGGATAAGAGTGCGCTCCAACGTGAAAATGAGGCAAAGGAGGAGGGCCATGCAGGGAGGGGAGTTGAGATGAAGTGACGGAAGTTTAGAAGAGAGGAGTGGAGATTATGCGGCATTTGCGCACACGCAGATGGCAGTGAAATGTCAAATGGCATCTTACCGTAAGTGGTGAGGATGCCGTAGCCAAGAGGCAGGCGACGAGCAGGAGTGTGAGGGAGAAGAGAAAGGCCATGCCTAGTTCGCAGGTGCTTTGCGCTCACAACTGCACGCATATTTATAGGCACCTTCTTCACTCCTCTTAGCCTATCAGACAGGTGGGTGTTGACCTGCGAGGTGACTTCTGGCTTTCACTGGTGCAAGCCAGTAGGAGGTG